GGGTTGTCCCAGGAGGAAGCTGGAAGCCACAGGAAGCAGAGCTGCTGCAGTCTTTAGAGGTCCCAGCCAGCTTGCACACACAGGCTCTCCCCAGTGTTCATCCCCTGATCCAGCCTCCATCCTTCCAACCCTCTCCCTTCCTTCCATCACTGTTTCCTGGGCCTCCGTGTTGGGTCTGGCACACGTCTAGTCTCTGACAGCCCTCTTGTTTTACCCTCCTTGCTGCTGAGATCCAAGGCCACTCCTCCCTTTTTAAAATTTAATTTTTTTTTACATTGCCCAGTTACTACTGCTTGTGGTTGCTTTACAGAATATTTATTACACTTATAAATCTATTAACTTTTCTTGGGTAAACTATTTAAACACAGCTGATAAACTTAAAACTTTGTGAATCAAATTTTCTTAAACATTTATCCACTGAGTCAAATTGCCCTATTTCACTATGAGTCTAACATAACTTCTCCTGAAAGCTTCAAGCACCTTACAAAAGTTTTTACTGTACCCATAATTAAACTTATTTGTAAAAATAAGAACTATTGATTCAACCAATGTGTTAGCTACAGAAGATACATTTTTGTAGTTCTCCAGGATTGCAAGATCAGATACAAGACAGGACGATCATCTCCTTCCCAGGAACACAGAAATCACAGCCTCTGTGTCAATGATTGATGGATTCTTCGTGGGAACACTGAACCCTTCAAGGTGACTCAAGCAGCAGCAGGCATTTGCCGGTTGGGACGCCCTCCGACCAGGTTCAACTGCTAAGTCAACAGGACTTAGAAGTAAGTTCTTGCAATCTCCATGTCCATTGAATTTTGAGTATATGATGTTTTGCCTCAGTTTACAATTAACTTGATTATGCCTCATTAGCATTCATTATAATCAGCAGGACCATACAGCAGTTTAATCCATCAACCATTCTGCTAGGACATCTGGCTAATTCATTAACTCACAGCACCAATTATGAACATTCCGTCTACCAGGTTATTTTGGAGGCTGCTGGTCTTGACCTACCCTTCCTGGTTTTGGTACAGTTCTTACTCTTTTTGGAAATCTTTGACTTATAGTAAAGTTATCTGTTTTTCTCAACTTACACAGATACACTGTTTCCCAAACAGACATACCGAACTTCAAGTAAGAAACAGTTCCATATATGCCAAACTTACCTACTTACTAAAATGCTGTTTTTATACTTTCTTTGAGTTATATATAACTAGCTTTGTCATTACAAATAATATTAACTTTTCCTTTTTGATCTCTAAGGACTCATGGCTTTTCACAGACTCAACTTGTTCTTGTAAATCAGCAACTGTAGACCTAGTTACTCTTTGTTATATCTAAGTTGTTAAAACCTGACCTGAGGGACCCTCTTTCCCTTTCACCTGATTTCTTTGTCCTTTCAGCAATAGCTCAGCACTTTGGGCAGCAGCCTGGTTTTCTGGCAACAGCAAGATGTCTCAGGCCATTGCAATTTCTTTTTGCTCCCAGACGTGAATTTGGGTTCTCTGAAGGAGCCCTGGGTACCGCTAAGGAAAAATGCTATTGAGATCAATACGTGTGTGCTGAGGGTACATTGTGTGTGTGCTGGTGGAGACAGCACCCTATGGCCGCTGAAAAGAACGAGAAAAGACGTTGCTTCCTAAGGTCATAATTCTGTTTTCAAGTTGCTCAAATCGTTTGAATATTACAACATCTTTTTTATATACAATTTTAAATGAATTTTTTCCTACAGTGTGTCTATTCAGATTTTTAACACTGTGATTATTCCAACCTCTGATTTTTAGCATTGTGCCTTCAGGTCCATTATTTTGCGCTCCCTCTTATGTATCCTTTATCAAAACCTGCAAATTCAAGAAAATAAAATTATGTATACAAATTATTCTGGCTTCATGTAAATGCATGTTTGCCATAGAGCTATTAGATATAATTATAAAACTATTGACACAAATATATTCAATTATGTTAATTTATTATTGCATAATGAAATGTCATTTCATGTAATACATTTCTGGCACAGATTCACTCCCGTGCCTGTCTTGAGAGGCTGAAGGCCACCAGAGGGCAAGCTGGGAGGCTCACGCCCTCTAGGAACTGTCGCTGAAGCAGGATGCTATTACTTAGACAATTCTGAGCAATTTATATTTACTTCTATTAATGTGCCTTCACTAATTGAAGGCATTCTGGGACAGTATGCAAATGGAAAGTATAAAGATGTTTGCTGACTGAATACATGCCAATCACTGAGCAGCACCGTGGGCGGACTCATCTCTCCATTTGCAAATCTGGTCCCTTAGAGAGGGACTGTCTCTTGGTCATTTCTGCATGCCTGTGGCCAGTAATGATAGGGGCTCAGTGCTTCTTCTTTGAACAGAGAAGGAAGAAAATACCATGAGAATAACAGAGAAAATCATAGCTGTCCATAACATTAATTCAGCAATGTCATTCACAATCCATCTTTTTTTTTTTTTTTTAATTTGACTATTAATATTCTGAGGCAATTGGGTTCTGAGACAAATTTTAAATTGCTTCATTTCCAAAATTCATTTTGGTCACAACATCCAGGAGTAACCCATCGGCTAATCAAGAACTAACATTTAAATGCTGTTGTTAGAAAGGCAACCCAGCACAAAACCAATACTGTCAGCAACTCAGAACAACTCTAATTTCCTGACGGAAATCGATTTACAGCAAAATAGTGGTTATTGCAAATATTTATCCATCTGAAAGGGAACACTCATCCGTGCAGCTTTTTGAGCAGTTCATTTGCAAACCAGATTGTGATGAGCTCCACTCAGGCATCTATCTTGAGACTTGGGAAGCACTGTGGGAGGTGGTGGGTGTGTAGCAATAATCCTAGGATTGCCTTGGAGTGGCCCTTTTGGGGATGTGGTAGGTACTGTGGACACATCCCACAGGCGATGTGGGGAGAGTACTGGGCCTGGAGACCAGTTCTACACCTGGGATTTCACTGACCTGCTGTGTGAGCTCAGGAAGCCACCTAACCTCCCTGCACATTTTTCTCTTCTTGAAAAGGATATTCTATTTGTCCAAATTAGCCCTCCTATTGTTGCGAAGCTAAGGAAGGAGTGGGCGGAGGGATACCTCTTAAGATATATTTAACGGACTGGGTAAATTTGGGGTCTTACAATCTTGGGTCTCTATTTCCCCCAAACAGGGTTAAAGAGCAGGACAAGGTTCCCTATAAATCAAAGCATCACTCCCCAGCTCAATGCTCTGTGCTGCTCTGCAGTCGCCATGTCGTGGCCGACTCTTCCCGACCCCATGGACGCAGCACGCCAGGCTTCCCTGTCCCTCACCATCTCCCAGAGTTGTGGGATGTTCCTGGGAGTTTTACTAGCTGGAAAACAAGTGCCAATGAGAACAAATGTGTTCACTGAGTAACACTGCAGGAGGAGCTGGGAAACAAAGATTAAAAAATCTGCGTGTCTTCTGTGCAAGAAGTTCATGGTCTAGATCATTGGGAGGGGGCTGTGCAAACAGATAAATGCAGTGGGCTTGGGATGGTGCAGGCGCGAAGTGTGAACAGGAGTGTGGGAACAGTCATGAGCTGAAAGATAATTCCTTAAACTGAGCCACAAAAGAGGGGAGGTTATTTCAGGAAAAGGCTTACAACAGGCAAAGATTAGCATTTCAGGAGAACCAGAAAAACAAATCAGTATTTCCCAAATTTCTCACTTCAAGTTCACTTTCACATTTATTTTACCTTATCTCTGTTACCACATGCAAAGTCGACTAATTTTAGAAAATGTAAACAAGTTGGATTTAAAAAGAAAACTTTAAACGATTACTACCATAAATGAAAGACATTTGCTATAAACAGAAGCTAACCTTTAAAATACAAGCAATAGGAACTCATTAATTTAATAAATCACTGTCAGGCTGTTTCTAGTTTTGGTGGCCAAAGGGGTGACCAGGACGAAACCGGGATAAATTAACGTCAGACAGTAATAGATCCTATGGAGAAAACATAAAGTGACTTAGGAAGGTTCCTTTGGATGGGGTGGTCCAGCAGGGCCCGCTACAATATGTCATTTGAGCAGAGATCTGAAGGAAGTGGTAGAACGGAAAGGAAAACGAGGTCATTACAACTCAAGCAGATACTGCGACTTGCAGAAAGAAGACTGCAAGCCAGATTCAGGGATAGCGGTAAGTGATGGGGTGGCGGGCTCACAGCCAGCCAACACTTTCTGCAAGACACTGTGGAGCACGGAGAGAAGGCAGGCGCTCGGTTGAAGGGGTTCCAGCGGCTGAATTCTATCTGTAAGACGAAATCTAAGCTGAAACTCCAATCCTCTGGCCACTTGATAAGGACTGACTCACTGGAAAAGAGACCCTGATGCTGGGAAAGATTGAAGGCGGGAGGAGAAGGGGACAACAGAGGATGAGATGGTTGGATGGCATCACCGACTCGATGGACAGGAGTTTGCGTAAACTCCGGGAGTTGGTGATGGACAGGGAGGCCTGGCATGCTGCAGTGCAGAGTCGGACACGACTGAGCGAGGAACTGAACTGACTCCTAGCGGAAAGCATCTGCAAACAGTGCAACCTTGGAAAGAGAGCGAGCGAGGTCGGCTGTGACCGCCCGATTGACAAATCAGTAAATAAATGAAAGCCAAGAAAAGTCAAATCGCTGAGAACTGGGATAAGAGCGCTGAAACTCTCCTTCCTCGTCCAGCCCGGTGCGGTCCAAGGATGGGACAGGCAGGCAGACGCCGGCTCCGGGGATAGGCTCGCGCTTCTGCAGTCCTCACTCCCGGCCTCCCGTGAGCCCTCTTCCAGGAGAGGCTCAAAACGCGGAGCCGGTGGATCCGCGGAACCGGATGCCTAAGCCTGACCGCCGAGTCAGCGCATGCGCAGTAGCCCGGCCCAGCCCGGGCGCTCTCGCCGCTGTGGGGGGAGGGTCATCCGAGCCTGACGTCCGCGACGCCTACGTCAGCGCCCCGGGAAGAGGAGGGCGAAGACTCCATCCGCCATGTTGAATGCCGCAGATTCGCCATAACCGCGCCGGCTCTTTTCTTAAAAAAATAAAAATAAAAAGCGAAGCATCAGCGGGGCGCCCCGCCTTCTCGGTCGGCGCGGGAGGGGGCCCGGAAGAGCCCGACGCTTTTTTTTCCCTCCGCGGCGGGGGCGTTGCCATGGAGACGCGGGCGGCAGGTGAGCCGGGCTGGGGGTTGGGGTGGGGAAGGGGTGGGGGTGGGGCGCGGCGCGGCGCGCGGGAAGCCGTTGCGAGCTCGGAGTCGAGAAGGAGCGCGCGGGCCGCTGGGCGGCGGAGGGATCCGCGGCCCCGGGCGGAGAGCGGACGTAGCGGCGTCCTTCGACGGCACGTTCGGTCGCTGGCAGTATCCCGCCGCCTCGGGTTTTTATTGAGAAAAAAAGTAATGAGGATGCTAGCGGAAGAACAAGCGAGGGAAGGCAGTGCGCGCGCGCGTGCGCGGGGCCGTTTCCAGGGCAACGGGTAGGGTCGGGGCGCGCGCCAGCGACCGAGCGCAGGCGTGCCGGAGGGCGGGATGTTCGAATCCCCGCGCCGCCGACTCTTTGGCCGCTCTGCCTCCTTCTTGCCTGCCCTGTTTCCTCCTCCGTGAATTGGGTAGCTCATTCAGACCCACGTTCCTTGGGCAGGATGTGTTGAAGGGACAGGGTTCCAGCGAGCTGCTGAAGGGAAGTTTCGTGGTGTCCTGAAGAGGGAGCCATAAACGCCAGAGATTATTAGCATTCTGGCTGCCGGTAACCCTGTAACATCCTGTGATAAACTGTAATTTATCGTCTACCTGCCGCCTAGCCCTGCGGGCCCTTTGGTCCTCACCCGTTAAAGTTAAGCTGAAATGCCACCTCCTCCAGGCAGCCGTCCGTCTCTGGCTTTCCGGGCGGGGGAACGCAGCCTTTCTGCCCCTGGACGCTAGAGCAGGATGGATCTTCTGAACACCTGGCCCGAGCCCCTTGGCGCTGAGCTTGGGGCTCCTTCCTGCGGGATTAAGAAGCGTCTGCACTGGGGCACTGACCTCGTGCTTTCTGCTGCTCACTTTCTACCAACAGTTCTAATTTGTATGTCGTTTACTGACGAGGAACAAAAGTTCAGAGAGGTCAACTTCATACAGTTTGGAAATGGCAGAACTGAGGCTTTAAAAATCAACTTCCTCGAGCTTGGGATGAAATCCAGACTCGGGGTGCCTGCCCGGCTTGTACTTCTGGCTCCTGGAAGTTCAAGTGCCCGGCCTCCAGTGGGTGCTGTAGGGCTCCTTTAGCGAAGGGAAGAGTGAATGCCTGGCTGCACTGACCACCTCCTGCCCCTTCCAGCCTGGTTCCCTGGCAGAGCCCAGTGACTTAAGAAATATTGATATAAGCTTGGTGTCATATGGTGACTCAGACTGGAAAAATCTATCTACAGTACAGGAGACCCAGGTTCGATCCCTGGGTCGGGAAGGGCAGTGCAGGAGACCCGGGTTCGATCCCTGGGTCAGGAAGATCCCCTGGAGAAGGGAATGGCAACCCATTCCAGTAGTCTTGCCTAGAAAATCCCGTGGACAGAGGAGCCTGGTGGGCTACAGTCGGTGGGGTCCCTAATAGTTGGACATGACTAAGCAATTAACTCTTAGTGTCATAGGGCTTACTCTCAACAATGGCCCCTCCACTATCAACTTCTGAGCCTATAACCATGTTGAAGCAGTTATGAGTGTTGCCCATACTGAGGGTTGCAGAAGGCATTTGAGCTTATGTATGGTATCTGGTGCCCAAACCCCAGGGTCACGTTTCATGGATTCTTCAGTTGAAGCATTGGTGATACTACTCTATATGCTAGGCACTGATGAGTAAAGAGCCCTTGGACCCTTGGTCCTGCCCTCGTACCATTGTGTCAGATTCCGACAAGGAGAGCCAGTACAGTAAAGTGTGTGTGTGTGTGTGTGTGTGTGTGTGTGTGTGTGTGTGTGTGTGTATGTGATGATGGGGCAGACCCAGATCCTCAGGAGCTGTGAACTATGCCAGGCATGCTTTCTGACATTAATGATGTTACTGAGTCCAAAACCTGTACTGCTTGCCACACGATGGGTCAGTAGATCGAGAGATGAATCGCTGGGGCAGGGAACAGTGACTTTATTTGGAAAGCCAGCAGCTCGAGAAGGTGATGGACCAGTGTCCCAAAGCACTATTGTACCTGAGTTAGAATTCAGGCTTCTTTTATACTGAAAGGGGAGAGGGGGCGTGGTTGGTTGGTGCAGACTTCTTGGTGTCTGAATCTTAGTTCTTGCAGCTGTGCTCCTAGGTCTGGCCACAATGTTCCTATAAACCTCCAAGACAAACATTTATTCTCTGTTCTGCAAGTTTTTACCTATATGAATGGAAAAGTGTTGTACTTTAAAGGTCAGAGCCTTGAGAAGGGGCCATCCTGTATATTTCAGGCTGTAGGCAACATTTCTCAACTGGTAGCAAAAGCAATAGAATATAAAGGTTGAAGTAGAAGGAACAGGTCCGCTGTGGAGTCAGACCTGATCTTCCCTACTGAACTGTCTGGTGCTTGCCTTCTCCCAAGTATAGATACATGGCATGCACCGCCCACTTCTCTTCTGGAGTTTACCTAACAGTTTCTAAAGATGATCCTGGACATTGTTGTAGTTTCCTTGAGTTTTCAGCTATAAGTGACAGAGATCATGTTTTAGAATATATTGCTATGAACTTGCCATCTCTAATTCCTGAAAAGAGTCTCCTGTTTTGCTTGGTTGTTGGGTTACAGCAGGAGAGTCAGTACAATGAAGGACAATGTGGAGTTGCATTTGGTCTCTTAAGGGGCAGCTTCTCGGTGGTGGGCCCGCCATGATGGGCGCTGCCTTGAACTGGACATCTGTCTGTTACCACACTGCTCCCTTCTCAGTCCTGGTAGAACAGTGATTCCTGTGTTACCTTACAGTTTACCTAACAGCTTTTCAAAGGCAGCTATCCTTCAGTAGAATTAAGTTTCTGCCTAAGGCAAGGGCAGTCAGGAATTAGATACATTAAAAAGACTCTCCCGTAATTGCATTTCCTTTTATAGACAGTTTCATGCAGGCTCCTTCTGCAAACCTCCCCGGCGAGAGGGGCCGGTTTAATTATGTAGAAGGGATTTAGCCTGGAGTTAAGTTTTCTTTTTGTTCTCAACTGTTTATCCGTTAAACTTTCACTGTCTTTGCAATTTCTCAAGGGCAGGTGTCAACTTTAAGGGCAGGAACGGCCTGGAGGGTGGAATGAACGCATGCTCTGGGGCCTGGGTTCTGCTCTCATCAGATTCCTGACCTGAGAGGAGTCACGTAACTCTTGGGACCCGTGCCTGCATCTGCAGGAGACGCAGTCCTGCCCACCTGGTCCCAGTGTCCTGGAGCCTGGTGGTTCTGCTCTTCATCCCTTTCACCCAGACCCAGTCTCCTGCCCTGTGGCCAAGTGCTCTGTCACCCACTTGCTTCTTGAAAACATTGTGGTTGGAAAAGTGTGACAGATGTTGACTGTATTACAAACTTATTACAGGTTTGAAGTTACAGTCTTTTTTTTTTTTAGTGGAGTCACCTTAAAAAAATTTATTTTCCTTCGTTTGACTGTGCTGGGTCTTAGTTGTGGCATGTGCGATTTTGGATCTTCACTGTGGCACGTGGGCCCTTAGTTGTGGCATGTGAGATAGAGTTCCCTGACCAGAGCTCCAGCCTGGGCCTCTGCATGGGGAGCACAGCTTATAAGCAGATGATAGGGGCTTCCCCCAGAGCTCAGTTGGTAAAAGAATCTGCCTGCATTGCAGGAGACCCTGGTTTGATTCCTGGGTTGGCAAGATCCGCTGGAGAAGGGATAGGCTACCCACTCCAGTATTCTTGGGTTTCCCTTGTGGCTCATCTGGTAAAGAATCCGGCTGCAATGTGGGAGACCTGGGTTCAATCCCTGGGTTGGGAAGATCCCCTGGAGAAGGGAAAGGCTACCCACTCCAGTATCCTGGCCTGGAGAATTCCGTGGACTGGATCACAAAGAGTTGGACACGACTGAGCAGCTTTCACAAGCAGATCATGCTTGGCATATTAATAGAAAAAAAAAAAAGACTTTAAATGGGGTAACAGACTTTTCTTCTTTTAAATCATGTAACAAACGGAGCTGCAAATTGCTTAACTCTGGAATCCGGCACCTTTGTGCCCCCACCGGGTCAGGACCAAGGCAGGATGGAAGGGTGGGGAGCAGCTTCAGAGGCAGCTGCTGGCCTTGTTGGGGGTGTAGGGGGTTGAGAGGACCAGATCAGTTATGGCATCCGGAGCCAAGGCGCAGGGGGTTTTGGGAGTAGCATTCTGGAAAATGGGGGTCCTGGATGTCCTGGCAACTTGGAGGGCTTTGTAAGTCGGCCCCAGGACTCCCTGTAGGGTGTCCTATTCTTCTTCCTGTTGAATGTTTTCTTCCCATCTCTGCCAGCAGGCCTCTCCTTCAGGGGCCACCATCACTGCCTTGCTCTGTAGGGTACTCCCTCCCTCCCTCACTCCTTCCCTCCCTTTTTTCTTCTAAGCAGATTCCCTGGTTCACCCAAGTGTTTGTGCAAAACTTTGTGCGGGGAAGCGAGAATGCAGAGTCAGATGTGACTCACCGACTCCTCTTGAGGGTCTCGTGCAGTCCTAGCAGTGGAAAGTGGATCCTTTGGGAGATGGTGCCAGATGGCATGATGGAACTAAGTCCTGAGAACTGAGGGCTTGAGGGTGGGGCGCAGGTGCTCCTAGCCCAGCCACTTAGTCACCTCGGTCCTTTTGTTGAAAACGTATGTGGGTCCATTTCTGAGCTCTTAGGTCTGTCCCATTGATCTGTTTGTTTATCCTCGGTCCGCATTGCACTGTCTGAATTACTGTAGTTTTCTAGTCATTCTTGGGCTTATAAAGAATACACAGGAGGACGTTCTTTGGAGGGGCAGAAACGCTGGCAGGAGCGAGACCCGGTGTTAGGTGCTGTCTGGTGCAGCGGCGGCCGTGAGCACGGAGGTTGGGGCAGGTTTAGAGACGTGGAGCAGAGCAAGGCCTGTGGGACTGATGGCTGATTGGGCTTTAACACAGAGACCACCCAGCCTTCGTCCGTGTTTCTTTTTAGAGGAAAGAACAGTGATGAACTGAACCGGCATGGGGACACGAACCTTTCCAGGCTCCGTACACACGGGCATGGTCCACAATTTTCAG